CTCATAGCTGTTTAAGACAGAGCTGTCGCTCTTTGTAGAATATGTTGAAAAGCGTAGTGCTAGCATATCTATTTGATTGAAGTGAAGATTGAAGTTAAGTGGTAGAGCCGTGTTCTTCAACTATACTTCCCAAGCTTTCATATTAGATTGGCGGGAAGTGATTGCAAGGTCGATTGCAGTGAATTCATAATTATTGTTAGAAGTAGGGAGTGATTGATACAACCCCACGGAATGACAAAAATGTTGAAACCGATCAACTTCTGAAGTTTACGTTTTTACAACGAAATTCTCAGGTATAGTTTTTATATTGTTGCTGGGTTGCCGTGATAAATTATGCTATTACGAAGTTCAGACCAGATTTTATGAAATTCATTTGCCATCCTGGAATCTATAATTGATTGTAATTTTTCCTTTTGTTTTTCAGTTCTTAGATCTCAGTCATTTATATGTGTTACTTAATACTAAATAAAGATTTAGTTATTTATAAGATTTACACAGCTTACATGAGGTGTGCATGTACTATGCGTAGGGTTTGAAGTATATTTATTCCAGACAGTCGTGGCAAGGTTAGAAAGCGTAAGTTTAATATTAAGAATAGTTTTCAGTATTTTTTACTAAAATAACATAAAGTGGATAATTGCATACAATGATCTTCAAAACCTTTCAAGAATTAGGTAGATCGTGCAATCTTTCTTCAGTACATAGCACCACTTATATATCAAAATGATCATGTTGGCCACCTCAGACACGACATACACGACATTTCTAATATTGCAAGTTTCTCTCATTACGCGATCAAAAGAGTGAGCAACCCATTTGGTTTACTTTTGTTATTTTCAAGAGAAAATATGTTATCATCTATTTATCTGGCAGATAGTCCTTAAATTGCAGAAAACTTAGAATTCTTTACATATTTATAGTGTACTGCACTTGAGATTGGAGTTTGATATATATTGGATTTAAATAAACAAGCTTCTGAATGGCATGCGATACCATTAAATTTATTTAAGAATTATTTATGGAGCTCCCAATTTATCAACTTACCTGCACTAAATTTTTTCAAATATTAATTGTTTCGATATTCCTTTTTCTTTTGAAATGTATTATATATTACGGTAGAACAACCGTAGTGATCGAGTCAACACTTCACACCAATTAGCCTAGCCTTATAATGGGCATTGAAAGGCTTGTGTTATGGGCTAACGCCTAGAAATGCATAATGATGATGCATAGATTAGTATGATTTTGAATTCATATTTGTTAACAACCAAAACTTAGGCACAGATACTCGTTTTTATCATACAATGATTTGCCCCACCGGGGTGAACCCAAGACCTCAGAGTATGCAACACCTTAAAAACCACGTACATTGCACTTCCCAACGGAGTACGTCAACATTCGATGTTCGATCTTTATAGTCTATTAAGAGGGTAGTTTATAGCCGATACTTATGTGTGTACGCAAGCCATGAGCGGGTATGTTGCGTTGCGTTGGTGTATGGATTTCCACGCGATGGAAGTAATGAATTATGTCAAGCGACATTTATTATATTTTCAATTTACTTATTTTTAATGTTTCGAATCGTTTACACTTCCACAGACCCCATGGTCACAAAAATAAATTATGAATCACGAATAGACTACATGTTAAATTATGCATAATTTGCTCCACTTGAGTGTCGTATGTTACCGGTGCTTCCATAATAGTACGAACTCCATAAGCTAACATGTTCTAAGGAGAACATATATTGATATTCACGTAATAGAAATAATATATTATGTGTGATATGACCCCACAAGGGCGATTATAAGATTGATGAGGATATTTCTCTATCAACGATGTTTTGTTACTGATACTTGTATGTGTAGGCAAGCCATGGAAGGCAAGTCCTTATTCATAATGAGTTCCATACGGAGGAAGCAAATTATACATAATATGCCCCCGCGAGGGGCGGTCATCAGAGTTTTGGTAATATGCACGCCGCGAAGGTGGTTTGCTACCGGTGCTCGTATATGTAAGCAAGGCATTAGAGGTATTTCATAAGGTTTCACGTAGTGGAAACAAATTGTATATAATATGCACCCCGCGAGGGTGATTTGCTACCGGTACTCGTATATGTAGGCAAGGCATTAGAGGCATTTCATAAGGTTCCACGTAGTGGAAACTAATTGTACATAATATTCACCCCGCGAGGGTGATTTGCCACCGGTACTCGTATATGTAGGCAAGGCATTAGAGGCATTTAATAAGATTCCACGTAGTGGAAACAAATTATATATAATATGCACCCCGCGAGGGTGATTTGCCACCGGTACTCATATGTGTAGGTACGCCATGGGAGGGCATGTCCTGACACGCCTTGGGCTTCATGAGATGAAGCTTATGAATATCACTTGCCTCTGCGCGAGTTGCTCATTAGGTTGATGAAATGTCAATCACTTAAATCCATGACAAATACTTACTTAATACGAGAAAAACAACCTCATAGATGGTATCTTATTAAGTGGTGCTTCATCACAGAGATCACTAACTTCTTAAGCAGTGCTTTAGTTTTTACTTTTTAGCTTTGTGCTAGCTGTAAAGGACCTAAGAAACGATTCTGTTATCTTATCACTTTCGTTATTAAAATTAACTGAGCAGGTGCCTTCCCGCAATGATTCATTTTTATTTTAGAAATATGCAATTGCTGAAAGAAAATTAATGTCAGGAACGTGATATATCATAAATTATCATCATAATTCTTTACCTCGTTGTTTGTTTCCAGGTTGATAAAGCCTGGACTATGATTATAATTTTTAATTTACATCAGCATATCATTTAAAATAAACGTTGAATGTCTTTCGAACAGAGCGTTCCTTTATCCTAGTTTAGTCACACGACTCATATGAGAATTTTTATTACGTGTATTGGTCAGTAAAAATGTTAGAACTTTTTATTCATAAGCCTTTAGATATTGATAGCTGGCCATGTTCAGAAAACGGCATATCGACATTAGAAATACCTTATTAAGATTGTACATAGTTCACTTACCCCTCGAACAATGATTAATAAAAGGGCTGGAATATCAAGCTCGCTTATTTTTCTTGAGGCAGCGATGCCGCTTTCGTTATACCAGAAGACGACAAATTCTACCAATTATTACTGCAGCTGTTCGAAGAACAATAATGACACATCTTGCTGTTTTTGCTAATAATGCCAGTCAGTCGGCGGCTGAAACGTCAATATTGACCGATATTCATTCACTCTAAACTGTAAAACAATTTAATTAAGTATTTTGTAATACATTTACCAATTTACTTTCACATTTACTTATACGGAAACATTAATTGAGTACCAAGAGAAAACACTCTTAAAATAGTTTTTATGATAAACGACCAAGACAGACGTAAAGTATTGCAAAATTTACTTTAATGTAGGTACTTTAATTTTTTAAACAAAACGCACCTTGAATTGCCGTCAAGTTTTACTCACGGCTTATTATTACTTTTTCAAACAAGCGTATTGCACAATTTAACATATTTGTTTTAAATATCCCTTATCACAAGGGCTGCAAAAACTATCAAAAGGAATAATAGTTTTACTTACGGTTCCTTCACTTTTAACACGTAAAGTACCTATTTGGAATAACACGAACGGCAAAAACCGTTAAAATAAAATAGTTTTACTCACAGTTTTATCACTTAATAATAATAAAACCTTTAAAATCTCACAACGATCGCTCAGATTGAGGACGTGTTGCTTCGACGGGAGTCAGAACGCCAATGAGTTAATATGGCGCTGTCAAAACATAGGAAAACAAAAATGGCCGCGCTTCTGCCAGGTGTCGCCACTGGACCGGAAACAAGGTGAATAAAATTACGGAAACTGATGGTAATTCGACGGGAAACGGAAGTGCTATCTCAATATAAAGCTTTCAGTGACGGTCAAGTAGTTTAATAAAACTTCAAAATCGAACAATGAAATAACCGAACGCTCAATAAAAGTCTTTTGAAGGTAGCTCGACAAAATTAAATAAAAAATTGATTCCGACGAAGCAGCCTGTAAAGGCTGCGAAACGTCAATAAATAAATAAAGTTTCGTGTATAAACCCGTAAAAAAATAAGTTTTATTTAATGAGTGATGTGCGTGAAAACCTAAGAAACAAATTAATATCGATTAGGTTATTTACTGTATTGACTGTATCTGATATGAAATATCGTCGAGTCGTTTGTGTAATTATCCAATAGAATTCGATAATCAGAAATAATCGCATCCGTAACCGTTTCTGAAACAGATCCATCTATTTCCATATCCAGATCTGATATTTCATATCCGTTCGCCTCTGCTTTAATCATGGTAAGAGCTACGTAGTTCTAGCAGCGCTAATAAGTATCCATTATGCATCAATAAAACTGATGACTAAATATAAGACTGACTAATTTGCTGTCATGCAGATTGTGAATTTTTTTAACTATTTTTTTTTTTTCATATATATCTATAATATTATTCACCATAATATTATAGATTTCGCATTGGTAAAAATGTATTTTATATGAAGAATAAAATGTAATTTAAATTTGCAGACACTAATCAGATTTTTCTTCAATTTCATACATTTCAGCTTTTCTTTCAATCTTAAATTGTTACCGAATGAATTTATTTTTATGGAATAATTGAAAAAAAAACACGCAGTTAGTATACTATATTAGGTTACATATACGCTGTATCAATATTCTAACGAACTACATAAAGAAACTTATTCTCTTATTCTCTCTTACTTTATCTAAAAAAGTTTCTGAAATTGGAAAAAAAGAAAGTGTTAAGTAAATCATTAAACATCAATATGTAGGTACATGAAAAAGAGGAAGAAAAAACGAACATTACAAAGTCAAGTTTTTATCTTCTCTGAACTTCAATTTTGTGTAATTTGTATTTTTTATTTATGGAAATAAAGTGTAAGTTTTTAACATGTATATTCCTATTCATGTTAAAAATTTATAATATGATTTATAACGTTTTACCTCATCCGAATCATGATTATGTAGAACGCACTGATCTAAGTAAGGACAGTGCCCGCCTTCGTAAGTTTCCACGTAATGTGCATTGAATGGTACCTCCCATAGGCCTGTGAACAAAAATAAAATAAATTAAATTTTTAAGATTATTTTTTGCTGATCAGATCAGATCAGACTGGCTTCTAAGCTGAATCCGATACAAAGCCTGTTATCTGGAACTACATATATGTTTTTTCAAATAAATTTTTATTTCTTGTAATATTCAAGATTATCAGATACTTAATAAGAACATACATGGGAAAAAATATCACACAATCCTACTATAATATTATAAATGTAAAACTTTGTATGTTTGTAACTTAATCACGCAAAAACTACTTAACTGATTTTTATGAAACTTGGTAGGCATATAAATTATGACCTGCATTGAGACATAGACAACTTTTCATCCCGGACAATCTCAAAAACTAAAGTTAACGCGAACGAAGTCGCGTTCGGCCGCTAGTCAAATAATAAAAATAAAACCCCTAACGTAAGGTATCAAAGTATTATCTTAACAGTGGTTGCTTAATAAAATGTAAATATCTTGTTAATGTAAATAGAGGAGCTTGATAGTGCAAGTGGTTAGCGCGTTCGGCCTGCGATCAAACAAGTTAAGCATCTCTCACAATGGTCATTCATTGGATGGGTGACCAAACGCTTATTATCTCCAACTCTTCCGTGCTTTGGAAAGCCCGTTATGCCGTTGTTTCCGACTGTATCAGCAGTTGTTAACACCCACCAATGTGCACCGGGCCTACGTAGTAGGTCACAACCCAATCTGCCTATTCCATCGTTAGGGAAGTCCTGAGCTCCAGCCCTGGGGACTTTAATACGCTGATGATGAACTTTGAAAACGGTAATACCATGTAGTTCATATTGATTTGGTTAGGCGTTCATATTCATAACTTATATATTGAGGCTATATATTGCGAAGCCGCAATTTTGCGGTAAGGATTATTAGATGTGAACAAGCTGTCTTGACATCAATCGAAAAAAACTAAGAGCGAGACCCCATTATGTACAAATCTGTATTTTTTAGAGAAGATCCATTTAGGAATTCGCGTATGAATCAAAATGGATTGTTTATTTTATTATTATAAGCCAATGACAATGGTACGCTTCACAATCGGAAAATTTTCTATTTGTTCGGAGACTAACATAAAAGTTTTCTTATTATTGTCTAATTTGCATAACTATACTTTTATCATCATAACGTTAATCTTCTATAAATTACGATGAGGGAACCAGACTGTTGCCATTAAGACATTAATCATATTCATAATCTAGCTAGGGCTCAGTGTGACTTTGCCAAAAAACCCTAAGGCCCAGGAATGTTATTACTATAACTGTATAAATTAAAAACTGGCCACGTGCAAATCCGACTCGCCCACGAAGGGTTCCGTACTATTATCTATACAACATTAGACGCTGTATTATAATACTATCTTTTGCCCGCGACTTCGTCCGCGTGGACTTAGTGATACAGGTAGCAATTTTTTACCAAATCTGCTTTTTCAACAATTTGCTTACTATTTAAAAAATACAAAGTTACTGGTTTTATATTTGGAAACATAACGTGTCAAATTCGGAGTTATTTTAAATTAAAAAAGCGGGACATTTCCTGCGCAATAAAATGAGTGTAATTCAAGATCCAGTATATTGTAAAAATACACATAAATCCTGACATGGCTCAGATCGGTTTCAGAACAGAACAGAGAAACACACAAAAGTATTATAAAAAAACCTAAAATGATTGTCTAGGATGGAAGTACTAAAGCCGATAAAAAGATTACTTAACGATGTGATAGCTTTAGAAGGTTTGTCAGTATTAGTAGTAATAATAACTGTGATTCATTAACAGATGAACAAAAAAGGATATATTTTGGGAACCGGCAAAACTGTAAAATTTCGTTTGATTTTGGCAAAAATAAGGATCGAATACTTACAACATACTTTTCCGATAGGCCTAAGGGGAACGTGCCGATGAGATAAAAACGTGACTTAATTGGACCTTAGTAAAAGTATCTGTGCACTACAATAACAGTAAAACGTCTGATAACGACCAATTAACGATTATAGATGTTGAATTCTTTAAAAGACAGAAATACTGTGGTGAACACTGTCGATACAGTAGGTAAATCATTCAGTACAGTTTTTAAACACTTTAGATATAACGCAACTACTTTTTGTTACGCTTACCATTGTGTATATTTACCTAAAGAAAATGGCAAAGGCAAGTCCGGTCAAAACTGTGGATTCAATTTCGTTCCGGTGCAAGACTTGCAATCTAGTGCCGTTGCAAAGTTTGGATGACTTTAAAATTTGATAAATAACGCGGTATAGTTAGCAAAATTTAAACTGTTACCGTTACTGTTACTGTTAAAGTAGCTTTGTTCCTTATTAACAGAATTATAGACTACATTTTTCAGTTTTTATTTGAAGTATAATTAAGCAGTCGGGTTTTTTGATTTTTTAAATTTACCTTTTTTATTTCACACTCTTTAGTTAGACGATTGATTATAAGACGGTATATACCGTAGTCTTGTTACTTCAGTAAGGGAATTAATATCGCGGGAATTATTAAGTACCTTGCGGTGGTCTAAACGATTGATTTATTAAGACATAAAGAGACTTTACCAGCGGGGTCAAGGCTACAGATGGGCCTCAATTTTCGCAAAAATGTGTGAAGTTAAATCAAGTCGTCACCTATTTAACTAATGTATGTAAATTTTATAGTAAACTAGCACTTATACAAAAAGTCATCTTTTGTTTATGTACTTTTTAATAGTTTAGCAGTAAATATAAAATTCATTTACTTTTATTCGTCGACTATTTAAAATTGGCAGTGGCTGCATTGTCATGTCAACGTCCGACTCTAAGATTGTGATATACACGAATGCAGTGTCATATCCTAGTCTCATAATTTGATATACCTACATAATTCACAGAACCCTAATATGTAGATGCCAGAAGTTAACTTCAAATGTTGTTGATCACCCTATATACAATACTAATCAATGACGTTTATGTCGCAGGTTGTAGAAAGCAGTAATTCCGGTCTGTTGTTTTGGACAATGGTGGCAACTGCCTTAGATCGCTAAATTAAATAATTATGCAATCACCAAAGCAAAGTTTATAATATTTGATTAAACTAAAGTTGCATAATAAATTTTTCATAACATTAGGTAGAGCACCATAACAATCTCATTTATTATCAATTTATAGTTCTCTTTGTAGTTTTCTTTTAAAGCGTTCACCAATACAGGTCAGGTCAAAGACTTTGTGATCGACCCTTTTTTATTGGTAGTGTAAAGCTCGAATGAAGAGTACTTCCACCTATCAAGCGTGCTGCTACCAGCCTAGTAGGTATTGCAAATAGTGCAATCATGACAATTATTTTCCAAATATTTATTTTGTATAATTAAAATATCAAATAACGTATCACTGTTAAGCACAAATGCTAAGTAACTTTTACAAATAATATAATCAAATAAACCTATTACTTACTTTATTTTTAAATCTTTTTCATCAATTAAATACTTTTATCCTAACTATCTATACTATAATATTATAGATGCGAAAGTGAGTTTGTTTGTTGCGCTTCCGTGCCTTAATAGCTAAATCTATTATAATGAATTCCCCTATAGAAGTAGATGGGAACTTGGTTCTTAGCTACAACATCGCAATACTTATAGGTGTAGGGTGATTTACCTATAAAACTATATTATTTACTTTGAATTTTGCAGAATTATCGTTTATAATTACAAAACCAATATTATCGCGAGCTGATTAATAAATACAGGGATTGCAATGTATGTACCTACTAGCGAAAAATGGGTTATATGACATTGTATTAAGTAACCCTTTATTTATAACATTAAGTAATATCTATGATTTTATTTATTTTTTAAGCATTTAACTGCTAGATGTTTAAATCTAAAGAAAAGTTTACTAGAAAAAATTAATTAATATTAAAATTAAGTAATATCGTTAAAAAAACAGTATCATTCTGAGTTTTTCATTAAAATTCAATAATCATAAATACCTATTATGATAATCTATTTTTCATCATTTAATAGGAAAGAACTGTATCACAGTTTTATTGTTAGTACTTCGTATAGGATCAGATACTGCGAGTAGCCCATTTTTTTTCTTTTTCGTCTAGGTTTTATCTACGTTTATAAACACCTAATGAAAATTTCTACTCTTAGTATTCCCGCAGTCTACTCCTACATAGTACACCGCGCTATCACTTTGTCATCGTTGTAACTTTTTAAATATTTGTCGAAATGACATACTGTAAAAGGCAAAGTTTATCGTCTTTAAATATCAAAAGCGATAAAAGTATGTGTTTTTTATAAAAAAATTTTGTTAATGCAAAATGTGCATTTTGAAAATAGATATCAAATAATATTTTAGTTTTGATTCACTATTTTAGCGGTAATGGCTTACACATTAAAAATAGATATATGGTGTCACGGACTTTTTTTGTAAGAACTATTTAAGAGATACATTTTCACTCTACATTACATTCATGTAACTGTTATTGTTTTTGCAGTGCAAGCCAAAATGGCTCGCAGATGGGAGATTTTTTCCGTCTTATGTGACACTTATTGTTATATTTTGGCCAATTCACTCAATAACTACATAAATTATTTTTTCAGTTATTATGATATATGAGCTATATTACTGTTAAGTTCCATTAAAATGCATTCAGTATTTTTAGGTGAAAGAGTAACAAAGATCCATACAAACGTAATATTGAAATTAAAAGCGCAAGTGGTTAATATACAACTTTAAAGCGTTGTAGATCCTATATAAACAATCATATAAAATGAAAAATGGTGTAAGGAACCTAAACATGATTTTCGATTATCTAGACAATGATACCCCACTCGACATATTTTGTCAACTTATTTTTTTTTTACTTCGTCACATTATGGCGCCTAATTTTCTCCATATTGAATTTTGATTATTATCATATCTTTAGTAGCACTCCCATGATTGAGACGAATCGATTGATGTATGAATCATCAAAATCGGTCCAGGCGTTTGGTCTCTAGTGTGAAAAGGAACAAACATACATATATAGACTGTTAAACTCTATACCCTGTCTGCGCGTCGCGCTTCGCGCTCTTGCATTGCGGAGTCGGATTAAAATGACGGACGAATTTTATAATTCTTACCGAACGAATTACAGATCAATGAAAGTTTGACCAACTCGACAGCGGCCGACGAAGCACCAGCCACCTGATAGATAGATAATAGATAAATAAAACAAAACTACCTTTTTTCACATACATTGCCGACTGCGCATTGTATGTGAAAGAAAAAACTGCACTGTATAAAATACCTAGGCAAAGAATAAAATGGATAATATTTCATACATTGTCTTGGCGTTTTTGGCAATCTGTTAAAAAAAAATATCGAAGAAAAGTCGACCCAAAAAAAAGTTAAACTTTTTCCAATTGTCTCATCGTTGAACCGTAAAAAAAATACAAAAAAAAATCTAACTCGCAAACTACGAAAAATCGTAGAACGTACATGGGGGTTAAATTGATAGGTATGTATGGTGGAACAAACACACTGTATAAGGGCGCTATGCTCCGCGCAGTGGATTGTAAAATTTCAACAGCGATTTCGGAACGATTTCGAGGGCAAATAAAGTGTTCTTGTGCGATTGTTTAAGGACTTGTATAGATATTATTATTGTAAGTGTACAATGAGCGCATTGTGATTAATATTGAGTGTTTAGTGTGTGGTGAATAAAGATCAGTCAAGCGTGAACTGGAATTATAATTTTAAACCCCATCCCGACATGTATCAATATCAATTAACACCATGTTGAATAGGGTATTTGACAAGTTTTAGAAAACGATCTCACGTTATTTACTAATATTTATAGAGTCCATAAAAAGTGGATATTCATCATTATGTTGTGTATTTCGATAAAAAACTAAATCAAAAACTCTATTTTTAAGTTGCCGCGAAAAACGTATCTCTGGACAATATGGCGTCTCACTGGTGTGTGACGTCACACGACTGTCATTAAAAAGTCAAACCATACAATCTAATGTCACTTTAACCAGAAGTTTACTTGCGTGTGACGTCATTTTAGGCTCCACCAATCCCAAGCGTTTTGGGTCACATGACAAAAGACTAGAAAACTATTATCTTTATCGTGGCTTTTTAGTAAATTATGTTTTATATATGAATATTTTTTCCGTAAAAATAGTAAAAACTCCTTCCAATATTCATTCTGAATACAGATGCTAACAATTGGCACTTTATTTTTAATACTGTCAAATACCCTCCTAAATATACTGATTTCCTAGTTGTTTAATACACATACATATTTGATCTACCTTAAAGGAAACTTGCTGTACTGCTGTACCTACTGCATAGATTCATTGTATAGTAAGTAGTGATACCTTAAGACTTTAAGTAAAGATTGAAAGTAAATAGACAAACTTAGTACCTATTTACTCTTCACAACTACTAACTAACTTTGGAATGGCAAACTTTGTCAAGGTTAAAGGGGAAGATAACAATGTCAAATATCCGCCTTGTGAAAGCAAACTAACTGCACAGGTTACTCTCAGCCATAAATGACTTAAATATATATCAAACCCGACTCAAATTCTTGAGCAATGAGGTTTATAGTAAGGGAGCTTTGAATTCCTGGTCCTCAATGGGAAGTAAATCGTAATATTTATGACATAAGAGTGTCGATTCTGCTTAGCCAACGTAAATATCGTATCTCAATAGTGGTTAGATAGTATCGCTTGTTGATACAGTTCTTGTGACTAAAACATAAAATTACAAAATGCATATAGATAACAATAACACAGAAGTAAGCAAATATATTTATAGGTTAGCGTGAGTTGCACCGAATTACTGTAACTTTAACTGTTTAGTTAAAGTACCACTTAGGTAAAACACGGGTTGCACCATTTGACGATAGTCAAAATGAGGTCATAATTTACAGTGACAATAACTGTCTCAGAGAGGCCGGTTAAATTTATAGCAACGTTTAATTTTAATTGGCTCTGTGGTGTAACTCATAGTAATAAGTGTTTTAGTTACAATAACTGTGTCAAAAATCGAAACAACTGAGATACAACTGACAAACGATTATTACTTTGGCTTAGCAAAATCTACACCCAGGTATACATGTAACAGCTATATGTAATTCTAGTCAGTGCGGTGATTGACGCATTGAATCTGTAATGACAGTGATCAGAATAAAGCTCGCCAGCAGCCGGATGGATGGAAGGACAACGAAGGTTTAAAATGTTTCCATCCAACCGGTAACAAAACTTTAAACTTAATCACATAGTCTTGTGTTTCCCGCCCACTAACAGAAGACTAGTGGCCGAGGCGTGGTTGAGAAGGAAATTCAGACAAACGCTTGGGACTTTCGAACCCGTTGTATATTTTAGAGACCTCATTAAAGGCGAAAAAAAATTTGCACGTTTCAGTGCACGCGGTGTGGGGGTGTCAGACAAAATTTCACCGTGACTTAGAAAACGCGTAATTTACACACATCGAAATAGTCTAAGCAACACACATAGTTAAAAAACTGTATGTTTTATTAATAAATTAAACATACAGTTTTTTTTGCGTTACCACAGAGCGTAGCTAAGGCAGCGCCCTATTGACCTTACATGGCACGAACCTAGAAATTAGTTTTTTTTTATTTATTATTATTGTCTATGTTTTTTTTCTAAATGGCTTCGCACGGCTTGTGCATTTAGCCAATGTCAAGTGTTAAAATGTTTACAAATACTATGGCACTCGTGGTCAAAGTAATAAATCCAGTCAAAGTAAGTGGCAGTCAAGTCAATCCCCCTTTCCCTATGTTTCAGTAAAAGTGTGGGGATTTACTGAAACTTCCCCGTGGACTCCTTGAGGGAACGTCGAAAGACACTTTCCGCTATTTTGTTTCACTTGCCAACACTTGTGCATGTATATTGTTTTAAACTTCCATGGTTATTTACGGGATTGTTACCATGTACCTTGGTTTTAGCGAGTTTCCGATATTTCAACAACTCCGAGGAGTTGCTCCGTGATCATGGCGCTTCCAACAGTGCCGAAATATCGGAAACTCGCTAAAAAAAGGTACATGGTAACAATCCCGTAAATAACTTATATTACTTTAATACTTGTGCATGTTCCCGAACACTTAGTGGTTAATAATCCACCATTATTAGGCACTAACATCCGCCACAACACAATTTTTAAGAAGAAAAACAAACTGCTAAAGTGACGCTTCCCGATCCCGCCAAAAAGTCTTGTCTATGTTTTGACTGTTATTTAACCATTTTGTTCTTCTTAATTAATGCTGTGAAGGCCAAAAAAATGCTTTTCTTTCCTTCTTTTTTTCTAATTGATGTTTATTTTTTTCTTAGCAAAGTAGATTGGTATACAATATTTTTTGTTCTCGAAAATATAATTGAGTGATTTTAACTTTTCGATTGTGTTTATAATAGTAAACTATAAATCTATTACAATAGTAAAAATCGTTCAAAAGTTTGAAACCATTTACTACCACCGTCTAAACCACAGATCAGAAGTCGCGGGATCCCATCAGTATATTGTAAGCAACGAAACTGTGATAGGCCTATCATTTATTGGAATTCTAATATGGAAACTAGCCGTCCATAGTCCTGTAGACTCGTGCACCGTACGCGTACTCAATGTGGATGTCGCGTATAAAGAATACGTACGTACACGAAAAAAAACGCTTTCTTTAAATAGTTTATATGTGTGCATTATCTCTTACTTTCCCAGCGCTTTCCTTTCTACTACAAGCGAAGTTGGTTGAGAACCTTATCGTGCTCTGTTGTAATAATGTTTTCCGTTGACAAGTTTTTCTGTATATTTTTATCTAGCGAACCGCCCTACGCTTTGCACGGGTGATCCTTTTTAACGCGATAAAAATATAGCCTATGGCAATCAGGAAAAATAGGTGTGAAAGATTTTTTTTCAAATCGGTCCAGTAGTTTATTACAAACAAACAATAATACAAATCATTTCTCTTAATTATATAAGTACTTATAGATGGTGACCTCAACGGAACTTACCAGGGAAGGACTTAGTAGGGCATGTTCCAGATTTACACTCGTGCGGGATCTTGTAATCCAACGTGTAAGGCCACACCGGCATCGGTAGCGGAGGCACACCGACGGAACTGTCGTAAATGTAACCGAAATCTTCTAGAACCTGGAATAAAATAATATATGACGATGGTGCAGCTCATGGAGAAGAAACATCTTATTGATTTACACACTACCATAGCCACAAGTAATTCATACTAAATTTATGTTACCCAATCGTTTTTATCGCAGATTTATATTTTTTGATGATACAATTGTACCTCGAAAGCTCGTTAACGCGTTCGGCTTGTAGTCGTGAAAGTTAAACAACTTTCGCAATGGTCGGTCAATGGATAAGTGCCCAAAAACTTACTATCTCTACTTGTTTCGTGCATCGGAAGGTACGTTAAGCCATTGGCCCTGGCTGCATCTGCAGTTGTTAGCATCACCCAATCCAGACTGGGCTCGCGTGGTGGGTCACGACCCAGACTCCCTATTCCACTCAAAGAGAAGGTCTGTGCCCGTACAGTGGGGGCATTAATAGGCAGGTGATGATGATTGTTAGTAATTCATATGTCACGTTTAATTCCAGACGAAGGAATACATAAATCTAAACAAATATTTTCGGCATGTCCGTCCGTCTAAAGAGCATAAATTGTCGGTGCTTTTTGCCCAAATAGCGAAGGGTGCTGGTTCAGTTCAGGATCTTATTATGCACGGGACAAGTTGATGCTGGTCGTCTTGTGGACGCCGGAATTGGTTAAGGGTGCGGAACGTTTAGAATAATGTAAAATAACAAAAAACGCACTTTGCACCCGTTCTAAAAGCGTTTGTTTAAAAAGGGGCAATCCCGCTAATGGCTAATAATAAAACAAACAAAGGACTCACCTTGAACTGAGTGTTGCGGCCCGGCTTGAGGAAAGGCGCACGCGCACCTGTTATTTCGGTGCGGGACACGTTAGCGAATCGCCGCAATATCTCGCGCATGCCGATCATCTCGCCAGCCCACTCTTCATAGCCTTTGTCCTGCAGCCCCTGCTGCTGGGAGACCGTCCCTGTCGCGATCTTGGGTACCGACAAACAAAACTCTTTTATTAATCGTTCCTCCAACAATTACATATAATCAGTGTTGCTAGATTTTAAATCGGTGTTGCCGTAATTTTCATTGCCATATTCCGTATAAAAATTTGAACCTTCCTTTGATTGATATCAGTTAGAGCACTTATGGAAACAGTTTTTGCGAGAAATCTGCTATTAAAAAAGGAGAATAAATCTAAGAAATACCTTTTTTATGTATACTATCTATAGTAATGTTTATAATTATCAATAATGTTTTATTAAAATTATAAAATAAAAACGATTTCCAACCAATTTATTTGTATATAAATATTGAGTAATTTTTAGTCAATTCGTAGGCTATAACATCGCTTGCCTGCTTATAACGCCTTCGTATATGATACAATGTACATACAAAATTAAGACAATGATTCAATTCATCACTTTACCTGTTTTAAACTTTTTCTTTCTTTCATTGTCACGAGCAACCCATATATTTCGAGCGGACTTCCTAGAGCCATATTTTGTATTTTACCAGTGTTTCTGCCTGATTTTTGCTGAATTCGCCGAATATACATCACTGGCATCGAATTCAGGATCAAATAATGTGTATTGTTTCGTGTCATTAAAATCATTTATTTGGAATTAGAAATATTATTAATTTACTGTTTGTATTTAACTGACAATCCGGTTAAAAAATCGTATGCTCTTATTATCCAGTTTAAGTTTTAAAATTCTGTATAGATACGGAGAAATGCGTATATATGGCAACACTGCTTATATTGTCCTTTTCCACTATTCAACTGTCATGAGCACCAACTGAACACAAAATTAAAATAAGTCGGTGTTTGTTTCTTGGATTAAGCTGTACAAAACTTTATGATATTTTTGTCATTCCGTTTTCTTAATGTACCTTATACAGGAATTACGTGCGATCATAGAATATAAATTGTACCTAAATATCACTTTTCGGCAGTATAGATCAAATTCATCATATATTTATTGGAACAGCAAGTTTTCATTTACTATGCAACATATTTTATTGAAGTTTAATGGAAAAAGTTACGAATCTGTTTTTTATCGTGAAAACTACAATCCTTTTCCATTATGGATGTAGGTGTATGTAGTTACGCCGTATTTCTATTTCAAATTCGAATAAGAAATAACGCGTCTGGAAGTAATTTCCTATTGAAAAACCCCCATAATACCACACATAGCTCGAATAATGCTTAATAAAGGGAGATGACTAGATTAATATTAACGATAATTAATAATGTACTATTATAAATAATCGGTACGGTTTACACATTTACTCGATCGAAAACTTGCGGCGACGCATGGCCCTGTCAAAGGAATAAATTCAATGTGAAATTCAGATGTTGATGAAGATATGATATAATAATAAAATAAATCAGTTACTTTGCTGATCAGGGGGGCCATTCGCCTAACGGAAATGCTTTGGAAAACGCTAACGCTTACGATTGTATTTTGTTATTTCTAGCCGCCTGAGGTTTTCAAATGCCTCGCGCTCTTATTTTTTCTTTTGCATTGGTAATAACAATATTAAAGAAAACGAGCGTAAGGTATTTTGAAAACCTTTGGCGGTCAGAAATAACAAAATAAAATCGAAAGCGTTAACGTTTTCCACAGCATTTCCGTTAGGCGAATGGCCCCCAGGTTGCAATAGAGTAGACTAATAAATACAAAATTTATGATAATTTGCTAGTTTTCAATAGATGTTTTTTCAGATGGCTTAAACAGATTTTGATTAATAATACCTACTATAGCATTTATTTGCCTTTTTTTCTTCAAATTACAGATAAAATATATTTACCTCGTGCCCGTCGTGAGCAAGCGCTTGAACCATGGCGTAATTACTGCAAAACAAACAAATGAAATAAATTTAAATGTTTATTCGCGATGTTTTTTTAGGATGGGCTAGAATTATGTGGGGTCCCGAACTAGATAAAACAAACCCAACCTTGATACGGGTCAGTTAAAAGATAAACTTTGTTGAATCTACCTTAACCGATGAGCACTATTGTGATAAACTGTCACTATTAACGGAGTCAAGCAATGATGCGTATAGCATGGATAGAAGAGAAGTAAGGCAGGGAATATTTCACTCGAACTGCAGCGCCCGCCTGTATAAACATTGTGACCTAAAAGGTGGCAGCGGCCAAATAACATAATTATTTAGTCAGCAAAAATGTAGGCCCCGCCTTGTCTTGGAGCCCTAAATCCATACTTTTGTTATTATGTATGTCTTCTGTAAGGTGTAGGTTTCATCCCCAGACGGACGCTCCAAATCGCGGAAAATCTGCTATGCCATACCACTCTTAAGGTAACACATATGAGGAATAGTGATTACCGAAGCCTTTTGCAAAAAAACATAAATTGGTCTCTAACTATATTCAATAACAACCAAAACCATTACACAACAAGTATTACAAAGTAATAGTTACCTGTACTCGTGCGAGAGAAAGAATGTTCCTCGTATGGGACAACCATTGGGATTCTTTATCTTGCCGTTGAAAACTTTCTTGTACTGTTCGAAGTTGTTCAAATTGACGGCTCCGTCGAAAGTTAGCATGATCATTTGCGGTGTCTGTAGGATAATAAATAGTACTCTATATTTAGATGCTTCTCGTGGGATTGAGTTATAATACTTTTTGAGAACGAATTGGCCTACGGCTGCTATACTTATTGTATTAACTCAAGAGCAGCGAAATCGTAAAGCCAAGAATTTCGGATTCGGTTATTAAACCGAATAACCTTTATGTGCTTTATTAAAGCGTATTCTAAAATAAATTTACATGAAAATATGTATTACAATCGACTGTATTTTCCAATAAATGAGAAATTGAGCCGCTTTTCTGAAATATTGAAACCGGATTCTGTGCTCACGAATGTAATCAAATATTATAAAACATAAATATGCGAATTTACTATTGCGTCCGTATTGCTCTGTGTGATTTAATATTCATTCCTACTAATTTCACATAAATTACTACTTTCATATTTCCACATATGGTCAATATGAAGTTAAATATCAATTATTTCAATTATTAACATTAGTTATACAAAGCCTCAAAGAGAATCAATAGTAAACTTAATAGGCTTTGACAGTATTAAAAATAAAATACCAATTGGTGGCATGTGTTTTTAACATGAATATTGAGAGCGATTTCAGTATTCTGATAGAAAAGTATTTTTTTAAAAGGCCTAGGATTGGTGGAGCCTATAATGATGTCACCTACCCGTAAACACGCCATATTTGCTAAAGAATCATTTCCGCGGCATATTTGAAAACAGAATTTATATTTTTGTATTTTTTTTACTGATATACGCAACAGAAATTTAAATATCTACTTTTTATGAAGTCACTATACACTAATAAATCACGTATAGAGGTTTTCAAAAACTTGTCAAATAGCCTATTTACATACCTCTTCAGGATCAATGCCGCCAGGTATTAAAGTACCGTCTTTGGAACAGAAGCAGTAAGGCAGCTGACATTCTGCTGGGTCACATTTTAATGCCAAATCTAGAGGAGCTTCAGTGATAGGTGCGGGTGCTGAAAAAGACATAATAGATGAATATAAAGCTAAAATGCCATTTTGCAATAGTACTCATTTATTTCATATAAGGTAGGTACATATACAATATTATTTTATTTACAAACAGTGTCCATATTAGGCAATCCCTATCTCTTGAGTTAGATTGAGCTCGAGATGATAAATTTTTGGGTCAACCGTTTTAACTTCCGTGATCCCAAACTGAACGCACTAACCACTGCGCCATTGAGTTCCTCATAAATTTTAAACTAATATTCACGTACTTCATAAACGCAGTTAAAATTTTTAAATCTTTGAAATTATTCCATTTTTGGAGACCGATTGGGGTAAACGCAACGCTCAGTAATTATATAACACAACTAGTGGCCCGCCCTCGCTTCGCTTCGGTGTAGACTGTAGTGTGTTTTTGTTCTCAGGCTTGTATTATACATATCATATATATAAACCTTCCGAGAAAAAATGTCTCACTAATAGTGAAAATTTTGTTGGGTAGTTTAGGACCCGTAGTAGGTACGGAATGCACACCAATCTTTGCTGTTAAAAAAGTTTGTCCCCCTTACCATTGGCCTATGTCTTTATTACTAAACTTATCTAGTGACGAAGTATTTTATACACATTTAACACTCATACCTAATTATAACACTCGCGATAACTTTTGAGTAGTATTATTCAAAAAGTAATTCCTATGTATTGATATAATCTTGAATACGTAGTGATTTATTTGGATAAGGATTTATACCCAGGTACGAATAATGAGGCCTAGTTTGTACCGGCGTTACTATTGCATATTTTAACAAGAAAAAGTAGTTATCGTGACATAACTGTAATAGTTAGATAGGAGATTGGTCACCTATGGTATCGAGGGCTTTTTTGTAGATATTGATGTCTTTTATAAAACTGTAGTAGTACATCACTTTGCTCTATTGACAATAATTTCAGCAGCGAATGCAATAAAAGGTTTCATTTTAGTATTTTTTTCACACGTCGAGTTACACGAAGTTTTCATACGAATCCCCAACCTTATTGAAAATAATCCATCATCATCATCATCATCATCATCAGCCTATTAATGTCCCCACTGCAGGGGGACAGGCCTTCCCTATGGATGGAATAGGGAGATTGGGCCATGACCCACCACGCGGGCCCAGTGCGGATTGGTGGGTGCTAACGACTGCAGATGCAGCCGGGACCAACGGCTTAACGTGCCTTCCGAAGCACGGAGGAACTCGAGATAGTAAATTTTTGGTCACCCATCCAATAACCGACCATTGCGAAAGTTGCTGAACTTCAACGATCGCAGCCGAACGCGCTAACCACTTGCGCCATCGAGCTCCTCGATAGATAGAAAATAATCCATACTTAGCCTATATTCATCAGGAATAGCGTAGAATTTTAAAAGTGTAAGAAATTTCTAATCGGTCCAGTAGTTTCGGAGCTTATTCAATGCAAACAAACAAACAGATCTTAAATACCAGCTGGTCGGCGAACTTCGTGCCGCCTAACAGTCGATAAATATGGCTTAACTTTAATTTTATAATACAAATACAAAAAAAAAGTTCAATCGTTTATCAGGATAATAGTTATAGAGAAAATGAAATTTCAATAACGTATACTTTTAAAATTATTGTGTATCAGCAAAATTTTAAACGAGGTTAATTTGTTGCCAGTTTTTTGCTCATTATTCTCCAAATACAGCGATCCCCTAATCTCCCAGTACATTAAGAATTATTGGGAAATTAGGAATAGTTCTATACTTTTATAAACTACCACCAAATGGAGTAAAATTTAAGTCATGTTGAAATTAAAACTTTAATATTGATACTTAGGTACAGTGTTGAAGTAACATCCATCGCCTCCCTGCCAAAATATCGGCAAGTATTGCAACGTGTCTTATAATTAGAGTATTTTCTTTAAATTAAAGTATCACGTCTATTGAGTAAGCTATTTTCCTAAATTTTTACCTTTTGGTTTCTATAGTCACTGATTTACAGAACAAATAAACTTTGTGCATGCGTGAGCTGTCAATTGTGAGAGGAGGCGCAATACCAAACCTAAAATATTTATTGAAATTTGATTTTCTGTATATTTTTTACATGATTTTACGATATTTCAAAAAAGGCATATTATTTGAAATGTCACATTACGTTACGTCTTGGTACATTTTTACTTAGAAGTAACGTCACGAGCCCGTCAAAATTTGAGAGTCTCTTAGGCTCGTATTACAGAATGACAACAGTGTTGATCTTTACTTGAATACAGTTAGAAAGGGATGGCGCTCTGTAGAGCACATAGCGTGTCTCAAGTGGAGATCAGCACTTAGTTGTCATACTGTAATACGAGCCTTAAACTTTGACACGCTTTATCTTTGTAATTTTTGGTTGATTGACAAAAGATAAATTAAGTGTACATTATTTTTTGATTATCTACGGACTAAATATAATTTTGTTTGCTTTACCCCGTTATCATCCCTATTTTATAATATCACTTAGCAAAAAGCTAAAAAAAAAAACTAATTCTTTATGCTCTTACTAAGTATTATATGAAACGTTTAAAATCAAGAAGCGGCGCCTGTTCAGACACTATTGAGTTAGAGGCAAGCCAGCCTACTTAACTTTATTAATTACGATGGTAATATTGTTAACTTGTTTTACACCTGCACTCCGTGATGTTAACAGATTCGCGACTAGATTGCTAATTATTATTGAAGATACTATATAAATAAATAGTGAAAGTAACAGGAAAACTTCTCAACAATTAACGTCCCAGAAACGGGAAAAGCAATATTTCGTAACGCAGTTTATATTATACTTCTAGCTGACTCGGCGAACTTCGTACGGCCCAAAAGTAATAATTTGCAATAAAATAATATTGCGACTATCAATTGAGATGTAAGCTATCCTATCTTTCAAGTTGGATCAACTGGACACGGTGTGCAAATTCGATTAAAATCTGTTAAGTAGTTTAGGAGTCCATCCCGTGCAAACAACGAGATTGCTGATTTAGCACTAAATTATAAAGTTAGATGGCCAAGTAGCACCTAAACATAGGTGATGTTATTCTGACTTATTAAAAGTGGAAAATATAAAGTCAGTTAACAAAAATAAATTGACATCATATAAACAAAACCACAAAAATAAAAAAGGAAATAATTCTTATCCTTCGCTTAACTCTGATGCAGCTAACTCAATTAGGAAATTTGGGCAACGAAGCTTTAATATGCCTATCTCTTACTTGAGCTTTATAATGAATTTTAGAACAAGAGTGATATGAAGGAAATTATTGAGACAATCCACCAGAGACCACCGGTAAATTCAGAAATCGGAAAGATAAAGTAGTTTTTTCTTCATTTAAATGTTTCATTTTCTACATCAGTACAATTAAATAGCTCAGTTAAAAACTTTTGCTTCGGGTCGTTATCTCAGTCGCAATGTATCATATTATTATATATCTTAATATATATAAATCTCGTGTCACAATGTTTGTCCTCAATGGACTCCTAAACCACTGAACCGATTATAATAAAATTCGCACACCATGTGCAGTTCGATCCAACTTGAGAGATAGGATAGTTTAAATCTCAAATTATAGTCGCAATTTTAATTTATTGCAAATTATTACTTTTGGGCGGTACGAAGTTCGCCGAGACAGCTAGTATTTATATATAACATGAACTTTTTTTCTAATAATTGTCAAATTTAGAGATTTATGGCAGACTTTTTTGACGTGACAACGTCTTTTAAGTTTATGGACATCGGCTGCACGCACGAAAAAGTGTGACGTCATGTCACGTTATATCACGAGTGGGGGACTCGTTACCTGACCCCTCTTAGCCCCCCTCCTTTCCCTCGAAGAGTACCTCACCCCCGCGGAGGTAGGTAAATGAATACAAAGTACTTTTAAGCCCTTAGTTTGGATAAACATCACGTTTATGATAGCTTCCATTAATAAAATGTTAGATCGATGAAACTAAACTACAAAGGAAATATTAATGCTTAGTCGCCGGTAATACAACGGGTGTGTTATCACACTTGTTGTAAACTGTAAACAAATTGAACATCAATTAGCTTCAGTTAATTGCATCACGTTTGACCATTGACGGGGGACTGCGACTAACCAACCAAACGCTATTTGAAAATTCATTGGTAACTGAATGTCTGTCTGTTCTACAATTTGCTGCTACAGTCAATTTAACAATTAAATCATGGAACAGCAACTTTACGTCACTCATACAAACATAACTGGCCCAACACGAAATAGACTCTGCGCTTTGGTAAAATATCACACTTCACTATAGCGATTAGAATAATAGTAAATAAATAATAATAATAAATATATATATATTGAGTATTTGTGTAGTACAATTCAGGACAGAATCACAAATGACACTCCGTGGCTAGGTGCTAAAACCGAATAATAATAATAGCCGAACATGCCAGCCAATTTTGTTTGCCATTGAGTAAAAAAATGTTGTCTGTAAAAGCATCAAAAAGCCTGGTTATGACCGGCTTTATCGCAACGTGTGGAATGCCTCGAGAACCCGGTATCGTCAGCTATTATAAAAGATAACAGGGGTGGCCGACTTGTAGATCTTTGCGGCCCTTTTTTCATTCAAGCCTAAAAACTATTTTGCAAGGCAAAATAGTAATGGTTGAACCTCAGAAAGAAACTAAGACACTGTTTCAAACAATTGTTGTTTCAAAATTTTTATGCAATAAATTTACATGATATGATATTTTCATATGAACCTCGTGTTTAATGCCTCACTAACTTTTTAATGGCAAATAAATAAATATACATATTTGTTGTTAATAAATTTTTAACAAATAAGCTGAGCACGCTGATTTTAACAAATAAGTTACTAAGTAAGAATTAATAATTTCCAATATTATTTTTGCTCATACATAATAATTATAATTTAATTAGCAATTAAACTGAAAAAAACAAGAAGTAAATAATAGGGAAAATCATCCAAAATAACAGTCAACATTAGATCTTATGT